GCACTGGAAGGCATTAGAAAAATGTCAGCTCCTAAACACTTGGTCGACATGCTTTAACCCTACCAGGACAGGTAATTCTAGGATGAAGCTGTAGTTTCTATTTTAGGATGAATTATTAGCTAGCAGCTGAGATGAAATACATGTCACAGTCGCCACCATGAATAACCACTCTATTGTATAAGTACTCAGACTTGTCTAGAGATTCTGAAGCAAACCAACATTCATTGTGAAGGCCATTAATTCCTGCTATTTGTCTAATTTGAAGGAATTACCTTAAAAGTACAGTTATTTCTCACCATTTTATTAATCTTGATGTAATTACCTATGTTCTTACTAATTTTGAGCTATTGATTCCTATTCTCAAACTGAAGTTCTCTTCCTTTGGGGAAAAAAACCAACATCTTCAAGACTGCAGTGCATGTGTTGGTATATCAAATAGCCAAAACTCAGTGAACACTACTAAGAACCAGTCCATTGGAGCAGATATTGATTAGCTCTTCCATCTGGTGCCCAACTCCAGCAGTTTGGCTTCCTAGGAGTGAGCTAGCTAAACTTAACACATGCTGCCTTATCATTCTGGTGACAATATGTAAACAAAGATCAAATCCCACTCCTTCCAGGAAAAGTGTTGTTCTCAGGAGAACTAGAGATCTTTGACCAGAACTACACTCCGCTCATTACAAAACCTGTCCAAAATACAATTCCACGTAGTTTTTAAAAGTATATAAAATTTGTGTTTAGGCAAGAAAAAAAGTAACATCAAGGGCAAAGACATTTAGAAATATTCAGTATTTAACAGCAATTCTTTTGTGCATGTATTTTTCATGTATGCTTTTCAGAAGTGCAATTCAATACTGAAAAGAACAGAAACATCAGAAGCTAATGATATCTTTTGGACAAGCTCAGTATCAGTATCTTTTGGACAAAAAGTAAAGAGAACACTGTATAAAAAAATAACAGGTACTTTCTGGTCAGATGTCACAGTAAAAAAGAAAGCAGAAACTGGGTCAAAGAGAAAGGAAGGGGAGGTGCACACACTGCCCTGAGTGAAACAAGGAAAACTACAGCAGTCACTTGATGTTTTTCTTCAGTCTTACCACTGCACTAGTGTGAATGTGTGGGCTGACAGAAAATGTGTAAAAGGACTAATGCTTGAAGGTTTATTTGATCTTCAGCTGATGGATGCACAGAGTTTATAATGGCCACTGCTTTCACATATAAAATTAGGCTGCAGATGCTTTCAAGCCATGTATTAAATTTTGTCATCATAATTTGTTAAAGCAGCACAACATCAAAATGACAAGTAATGTGAGGTCATTACATTAAATAAAGGGGGTTCAAGAAGAATAAATTCTGTTCTGATCAGTTACGCAGTTCATGATTTTGGATCAATGCCTAGACCAAGTGACTCGGTTTCTTTCAAACCTTAGTTCCATGTCAAAAATATGAAAAGAAGCTATTTAAAAGTATGTTAAGCTCCCAGTGTAAGAGATATAGTGGAATAACAGGCTAGTAGAAAGGGGGTCTCAAGAATGTGCAGCAGACACTAAAATCTTAAATTCACTCCCTGGTACCAACAGAGAGATGCAAATATATTTGTCTGACAGCAAATTGCAAAATTCAAAACAACCAAAATTATATTTTTCCTGCTCAAGGTACACAGCTCAAGAACCTCCCTTTGAGTTGACTATTAAGATGAAACACCTAAAAGTCAAAATTAAATACAAACAAAAGCCCTTTGAACAGTGACTGGTCACTTTACAGACAAAATATTTTGTTCAGGGAAAGATGAGTGAAGAGCACAAGATAAGAGAAAAAGAAATCTAACTCGCTGTTTTGTTACTGTACACTACATTCTGTTGTTGCTGCGAATAGAGCTCACAGATAGCCCTTTGGGATAAAGTATATCAGAAATGCATAGCAAACAGAAAATATCTCGAGGACAAGCCATACATAAACTGTCATAGATTCAATAATATTAACCCCATGAAGCAACAGCATTTCTGTTTTGCCCTGAAGTAAGGTAACAGAACAACGATTGCAGTCCTGTCCACCATTCTTACCAACTCACCCAACCCAATTTAAGGGTGCTCTGTCAGCACAGTAACACAGTAGTGCTTGCTCATCTGGATGCTGCAGAGAAATCCAGAAAGCGAAAAAATACCTAAAATACTGGCAGAGTTGACATAAGAGGTGACAAAAACTAGAATTCAGTTGTAATGAAAATCGTGAATATGATTTCAAACACTTGGGCAATTTAGGCAGAAAAAAATGAAAGTTTTGGGTTATTCAATGTAGAATCGTAGAATCATAGACTGGTTTGGGTTGGAAGGGACCGTAAAGACCATCCAGTTCAAATCCCCCTGCCAAGGGCAGGGAACCTTCCACTACACCAGGTTGTTTAAAGCCCCATCTAGCCTGGCCTTGAACACCACCATAACCATTGCAGGAAAAAGTCCTGGTATGAAAAAGTCTTAATAAAAAGCAGCTGATCCCTTATGTTTGCCTCAGCACAGTCCTGTCATAAAGGCAGTCAATTGAAGAGTGATGCATTCACAACAAGTAAAAGGCAAATACTGCCATGCCTATCAGACTGTCAACCTTTGGAACTCCTTGTCAAGAGTTCAGAGGGATGGCACAGTGAGGGTAAGAGAGCAATGATTATCTAACAGCATAGTAATGTACTGTTTAAATGCATTGCTCTGAAGTCTGCAGCCCTGTGGGCCCTGAGGCAGGGCAGGAGCATTATGTAAGTGATGTGCAGGAGAAAGGGCAGGAGAGAAGGGCTTCACCAACCATTCTGATTTAAAGTAGTCCCACCCATGAAATCTAGGCCCAGGCTCTTCAAGTGTATTTAAGTGTCCAGCTCAGCTGAAAATTGTTCAGCTGCAACTGAATTCCTGTGGAAGGTAGGCACCCAAAACCTTCGAGAACTGATATCTTAGTAACTGAGTTCCATTGCTGATACTCAGGGTTCAGAGTCCACTTGGGGCTGCACAAGCTACACTTGCTCCACAGCAATAACAGCAATTCTCTAGGTTCTGAAAACAGCAGGCAGCATCAAAGTGGACTTATCTAATATTTAGGATTCACCAGTTTTCATTTTCAGCATAGCAAAGCCAAGCAACCCACGTACTTTCATTACAGACAGAATGAAACAACAACTTTAAGTCACATACAGCCCCCAAACTGGTGAAAAAAATTCTATTTCTCAGTTCAGTCTTGAATTAGTGAGTCAAACTTTCTAGATCCAGTAAGAAACATTCTTATAATCCTCTTGCTTTTCTGAGTCCATGTCTCATTCCCAGTGTGTGGTGCTCAGTATTTGTCACAACCCTGTAAACGCAATTTAGTGCAGTATTTGTTATCAGGAGATCCATCACAGCAGTGGTAGCAGAATGAGGCAATTCCAAAAGGGACATCAGAGTCAAGCAAGGACAAACAGCATGTTGTTCGACAGCACTCACTTGCAAAATGATGGTATCAATCTGTTTCTGTATTTTGTTTTTCTTTTTTTATCAAAAGATTGTCTAGTCCCTACTATCTCTACTTTTCTCCTTTTCCATTTAGCTCATTCGTTTTTCCTATTTTTCTCTTTATGGATCTCAAATAAATGCAGTTCTTTTTGTTAATTTTTGCACACATCAATAATGTAAACATTCTTCTAGGAATAACTTCTATTAGATCTCTTGAATTGGTAGGCCTGAAACAGTAACTTCTCCTCCACTCCTGCATCTCTCAGTCATCAGGTCTCACTCAAAATGTGGCACAGCTCACCATAACAAGCTTTCTTTAGTCAGGCAGGCACTAATTTCTGTTTCCCCTCCAAAGAAAGCACTGTCTATTGAAGGCATTCTCATGTGGTCAGAGTGTTTTCAAATAAGATATTTTGTCATTATTTAAAACATTTCTTTCCAAATGCCACTTTACCACTAAAAGAGCAATCTGCAATTAATTAATACATGCCTAACTTTTAAAACTGAATACTCCCACAGAACCACATGCACACATAAAGCCAAGGATGTGCTCAAGTGCAGTATCGAAGCACACGTTAATGCACAAAGCATACATTAATGCACAAAGGCTGCCCCTCACATGAGGCAGCATTTGGCATGCAGGCTTTTCTTACAACCATTAGGATTTAGCCTGCAAGCTCTTTTTGCAACCATTTCAACAATTTTCCTCCAACACTTTCCACCTTCACTTCCAGCAGTATTTCACCGCCAGCTTTTAGCATTTCTTCACATTCAAGTCTCGCAGGTGTGTTGGCTTACTGGGAGAGGTGCTGCAAGGCAGGGAATCACCACCAGGACCCTGCCTCAGCAAAAAGCAAACAAATTAAGCGGTGTGGACAGGCAGAGCCGAACGCGGCCTGCAGCAATGGCAGCCCACAAACAGGCCCCGCTTCCTCTGCCCAGCACAGCTCGGGGCACAAACACAGCCCCGGGTGTCCCGGCCAGCGGGACAATAAACCAGAGGTGAAAAACGTCACTGGGAAAGTGACACCGTCCCGCAGAAGCACCGGAGACGGCGGCTATTGTCTGCTGGCCGCTACAATATGAAAATCCTGAGGAGCTTCCTGATTCACCTCCTTTATTGTTTGTCTCGCCGAAAGGCACGGGCCGAGTGAGGGCCGGGCCTGGGCTGCCCTCGAGCCCGGCAGTGCCCGGCGGTGACAGCGGAAGCGGAGCCGGGGCCGCCCGCTCGCGGCCGCTCTCCCCCGGCACCCCCGGCTCTGCACGGCCGCGCTGGGGCGATTCGCTGCCTCCCCGCGCTCCCCGCGGAGCCTCCCCCTCGGCCTCCGCCTCCCCGGCCCGCGGCAGGGCCGAGCCGGGTCCGGACCCGCGCCCCGCGGGGTCCCCGCCGGCGGCAGCTCCGGGGGGCGGCGGGGAAGGGGCTCCGGGCCCGTTCGAGCCCCTGCCCCGCGCTCGGCGCTAGGCCCGGCTCGCAGCCCCGGCGCGGCGTAGCCAGGCCCGCCGGCGGCCTTACCGCCTCCACGGCGTGCTGCAGGATGGAGGTGAACTTGGAGAACATCCTGTCCCGCGACTGCAGCAGCCGCTGCCGGGAGAACCGCGAGAGCTCCTCGATGCGCCGCCGCCGCCGCTCCAGGGTGAGGGCTGCATGCGGGGGCCTGGCCGCGGGGATCGGGCGGGCGGGCGCCGGCGCTGCCTCTCGCTTCCCGGCGGACACCGTGGCACTGACACCGCCGGGCGCGGCGGCGGCGCCTGCCGAGGCTCCGGGTGCCCTGCAGGGGCCGCCACCCCCCGCACGCCGCCCGGCCCTGCCCGCCCCGATCCGCTCCGCCCGGGCCGCCTGTCCCGGGATGGGAGCGGGCACCGAGCCCCGGGAGCCCCGAGCCAGCCCCCGCCTCTGCGGGCAATTCCCGGGCAGGGAGGTGAATCACAGAATCGATTAGATTGGAAAAGACCTCTGAGATCATCGAGTCCAACCTACGACCGAACACCACCAGGTCAACCAGACCATGGCACCACGTGCCACGTCCAGTCTTTCCTTGAAACCTCCAGGGAGGGTGACTCCACTGCTTCCCTGGGTAGCCCATTCCAATATCTAATACCCCTTTCTGTGAAGAATTCTTCCTAATGTCCAACCTAAGCCTCCCCTGACACAGCTTAAGGCTATATTCTCTTGTCCTGTTGCTGGTTGCCTGGGAGAAGATACTGATACCCAACCCACCACAACCTCCTTTCAGGTAGTTGTAGAGTGTGATAAGGTCACCCCTGAGGCTCCTTTTCTTAAGACTCAATACCCCCAGCTCCCTGAGCCACTCCTCATAGGACTTGCGCTCGAGTCCCTTCCCCAGCTCCATTGCCTTCTCTGGACACACTGCGGTACCTCAACGGCCTTCCTGAATTGAGGGGCCCAGAGCTGGATACAGTGCTTGAGGTGTGGCCTCCTCAGTGCCAAGTGCAGGGGGATAAACCTTTCCCTGGTCCTGCTGGCCACACTATACCTGATCCCAACCAGGATGCCGTTGTCTTCTTGGCCACCTGGGTACACACTGGCTCAGGTGAGGGGAAGGGGCACCCACCTCTGCTGTCCCTGTGCCCAGACGCTGCCATCAGGCTCCTGCAAAGGTCTCTGGGGCTACATATGCCCCTCAGAATCACGAGAGTGGGGAGACAGCCACCCCCACCTGCCTGCCAACGTGATACAGATGTGGAACAGCCCTGGCATGGGCGGGCAAAGGCCCAGCTTGCTGTCCAGCTTGGGTCTGTCACTGTCCACAGGGACGGTGAGATCCTCAAGGATACAATGACATGCTCAGCTCTCCACAAAGCAGCACAAGGGTGATAAGCTCAGAAAGTCAGTGACAAGTGGTGGAGTCACCACCAAATGAGTAGACGTGGCACTTTGCCATATGGTTTAGTGGTCATGGTGGTATGAGGTCAAACATTGGACCTGAGGATCTTGGAGGTCTTTTCCAACCTTAATGATTCAATCTTGTTGCTGCTGGGTGAAAGGCAGGTGGAGTGGGTGGCATGGTCCTGTCTGACTGGTCAGCCTGGGGCTGGCAGGGTACCACAGCTAACAGAGCTTGTGGCAATGAGCACATTACCCATTTCACTGGGGATGTGTGTGTTTCTTTTTGTTTGTTTGTTTGTTTGTTTGTTTTCCAGAGAGAAAGAGACAAAGACGGGTTTATTTCACCTCCAAACCAAATACTTCAAAGAAAAAGATCATCCCTGCCATTTTCCAGTGCCATGCAAAAAGCAGAGGTAAGGTGGGGTGAGCAGAGGTTATGGGTGTAGCTAGCAAGTGGTGTGATGGTTTGGGAAAAGCTGCAATTCATGGGATAATATTTGGGCACTGGGCAAATGGAGGTAGGAGAACAAGATTGCTTTGGCATGGCAGAGAAGAGTGAAATGTTGGGAAGGTGAAAGACTAGTAGGGGAAAAGGAAGAGAACCTGTAGTACCAAATGAAGAAAAGCTGCCTCATTAATTTTTTGAGATGAATGAACACCAACTTTCTCATATGCTAAGAGAAAGCAGACAGAGATGAATCTGAAGACATGACAAAACTACTGTTTAACTTCTATTCTTTAAATTGTGTCACCTGGGAAGTCAGACTATGACTGTTGACCCTGTGATAAAGTCTTACCATGATTCTGCTATACTGATTGCTGTTACTACCTCTGTGCTTTGCAGGCACAGAGGGCTACAGTCCAAGTACTCTATGGAAGTAAGTAGTAGTTGTATGTGGACACCTCCTTCTCAAAATCCATATATATATAAAATAACAAGAATTTAAAAGATGTTACTTGTTGGGTTTTTAAAATCTGCTTACTCGTGGTTTGTCAAGTTCTATTCTATGGATGTTCTTATAGAAATGTAAATTTTCTGTGTGGGTAGTCATAGGATGAAACGCATGTACCATCTCTGTGTTTAGGTAATTATTAACTGGACAGATGCTGCATTTGGAAGGTGCCTATCTTCTATCACTTAACATTAAAAGTTCTATTAGACTTTTAAAGTGTGCTCTAGGAGGCAAATCTGTCTTCAGATGAATTTAAGTGTCATTGACTATAGTTTTGCAATACATCCAGATTATTATTAATGTTTACGTATATTTTAATATGTAATACTTAGCTATTTATTTTATTCATATTATTATTTTTATATAAGTACGGTTCAAGTGTTACTTTCAGCCTGCTTGTATGGTTTTTATTTGAAGTTCTTATTGCTTTCATTAAAAAGATAAAGATGAGTTGTAGTTTTTAATGCAAATTTTGTCAGCACAACAGTTGAGTAGTGGTACAACTTTCCTCCCATTAATGTGATGCCATTTACCATGTTAATGAGCACCTTCCCATTTTCTCACCATAGATACCGTTTTGGAGCCTGCATCATTTCAGAAGAAAATGTGGATATAAGGCACACGTACTTGATTAGGGTGTCTAAGAGAACATGATAATTTAAGATGCTCTTTGCAATCTGTTTGTTTCTGAAAAAATGTCTTTTGAATGTGCCCGGGCCTTCCCATTTCTGAGCAGCAGAATGAATAAAGAAACAGTAAGATATCATGAAGATATAAAAAGAGACAGTTTTATAACTGTGAGAGTATTCCTAAGTGTGCTTAACAATTTATGAAATCATAAGTCACAGAATCACAGATGGTGAGGTAAAGCTTTTCTAAGAGTGCCTGATGTATATAAATTCATTATTATTTAAACAGAACATTTCTTAGCTGTTGAAATTAAGATTTTGATTGTAAAAGTGACTTCTTATTAGGACTTCTCAATGTGAAATGCCTTCTAGTAGAGGAAACAAAGAAAATACCACAGTTAAATGATTATTCCCAAGCTTATTAAACAAATTGAGTCTCTGCACATAAGCCTGCATTTATTTACCAATAGATTGAGCTTAAATGTGTAGCCATACATGCAGAATCCAGTCTGTAGTGCTTATATCTGTTGCAAATTATAGATATACTTTTTGAATGTTTTTTTGAAGTAGTCTCTTAATTTCTCAAGTATATGTATGTATTTTTGACTGCTGGGAATATTGGATAAATATTCACAGACCAGTAATAATGCAAATCACTGGAAACTAAGGGAAAAATTATTTCACCAGTGTCAGTGCAGAAGAACTTAGCTAAGGTTACATTTTGTTTGGCTACTTCTTGTTCTCACTGGAGATGATTTAATTGGAGATGATGCAGTTATGGATGGGCTACCAGCGTCATATCATATGCAACAATACATCTTAAGCTGCTCATGCTTCATAATGTTTCCACCGAAATAAACACAAGTATTACTACCTATTTTAGTGCCCTTGAGAGCAGAGTTCTGATGGTTTGAGGGTGTTGGGGTTTTTTTTTGGCAAGGTAGTTCTTTTTTGGGGGCAATACACGCAGTGAGTTAGTGTTTTGCTTGGATGTGAGAAGACAGTGTGAAAGTGAGGCTATTCTAATTGATAGAGCTTTTGGGAACTTTTCTCCTTCTTACAAATTAATGAAATTGTCTAGATTAAATCAATTTAGATGGAGTGAGAGAGTGAGATAATTGGCTAGCCTTTCTATCTGAAAATTTCTCTGCTATTTGGATTGATGGCATCAAGCCAGTGTCTAATGGATGCATTTGTCTACATTACAGAAGAACTTCCTGCAGTCTGGACTTTCACTTCAGAGAGGCTGAAAATTTGGAAGGTGCATTTTTGTATCCTAGGATGAAAACTTGCAAGTAGAGCTGTGCCCAGTATCTGTTGATATTCTGGATTTTATTGTGTTTATAATAATCAGATTGACATCTATGTTTTCAGTGACTACTTGGATGAAATAAAGAATGAAGTTTTAGTGGCTCAGCATGATCTCTGCTTTTTAGGAGGGCTAAAGGGATTGTTAACTTCATCTTCATACCTGTCTGATTCTGGACTTTATTACAGAAAGCAAGCATGTTGTGCATTACATACTGAAGAGCAAGCAGTGGAACTCAAGTCATTTTCTGCCATGAATTTCTGGTTGTCTGTGCTCTCATCTGTGTGCATCAGCTCCCTCCTTGCTGATTTGCTGGCAGCACCATGTAATCAGCTCATGCAGTATTTCATAAATCCCATTTTCAGGCATTTCCTGGCCTGTGTATCCCGCTCCACATCTGCACATCTGCTCCTTCTGTGCAGATATTCATTTGTCTTCTGATGGGTTACAAAATTCCTAGTGATTAATCTCTTGTCTAATTGCTTACCTGTCATATCTGCAAGTGTCTTCTGACACCAACATTCATTGATACTGTGGAAGACTCAACACTGGGCAAATATTGCCTGCCCAGTAGCTATTGCTTATGTTTGTGCTTCAGTTACACTGTCTGTACTACCCTGATTTATCTTATATAATGGCTTGTAAAGGAGACCACGAGGAGGTCAGAAGTACATGTTATCAGTGAAATGAGACATTTATTTTCCAAACACATCATGTTTTCCTGAAATGTTTCTATTCCACTGGAAGCATTATAATCCAGGTTTTCCTCCATAGGAAATATATGAATGTTCTGCAACAGGGTATCTGCAAATGTTAGCATATAATAAATTACTGAAACCAAATAAAATACACTCGAATGTGACCAGTTAGAGCTTAGCCAATTTCACTGAAGTCTGCAGGTTAACAGGAGCACAAGTTTACTTGTTCTTGTGGCAGTGGAAGCTGAAGCAGAGAGATTAAAGATAGACTACTGAGTTTATGCTGTATTGCAACACTAATGACTGCAAAATTCTATGTTATAAATAGACATAAAACTGGATGTTGCCCTGAAATACTGGAAACAAAATAATTGACTGTCTGTCTGCTATAAATTGGTTCCCTCAATCTTTAATCTGAGCGTTTGCAGAGAGAGAAGTCTGGCAACCAGAATCTGTTTGTGTTTCTGGGGAGAATTTAGGTGCTTAGCCTTGACCCTACTGAGAGATTTCCAAGTAATGTTCAGATCAGCTCTGACTGCATTGTTTGTTTTCTAATGCATAATAAGATTTCATTGTTACTTACATCTTTAGATTAAGGGCTATAATCTGTTGATCCCTAAAATGTCATCAGATAATCTGTTTAATCATAAGCAAAAGCTGATCTTGATAGTCTATATGAGTTATGCAAATTAATTCAGGCACAGTAGTACCATGCAAGTATAGAAGCTTTCAGCAGAGTTCTCTTTCTCATGAGTCCACAATTAAAAGTAGGATTTTGTTAGAGTTTCAATTCATATATCTCTGTCCTGAGGCATAATTGAAATCTCTTATGGAGTCTGACGTGAAATTTTGGCATTGTAAAATATCTTAATTTTGAAGCAAGTGTCTAAAATATTTATGTTGCAAGGCACTCGTTAGTGGCTTCATGATTAATTTTAAATTATTGATAGCACAGTTATCTAGAAGAGCCCAAATACTAGTGTCACAACGCTCTCCAGCGTTCATTACCCGTAAAGTTGAGTGACAAAATTCCAGCGATGTTCTCCAATCTGTTGTTTACCGGGAAGGTGGCCACTGAATCCCGAGAGTTCCAGCTCTCACCAGCAGAGAGCGCAGCTGACCTGGCTTAACCTCTGGGACACAAAGCAGCAGGATTTAGAGAGATTCCCTCATAGAATGTTTTTAGGGAAAAAAATAACCCCGTGTATCCCGTGTAGAATGAACTAGTATGTCAACTAGTAATATTGCCTCTAGGCTTAACTGCTGTGTATTACTTGGCTTGTAAGAGCTTTGGTTGCTACACATGACAGCCCATCATTAGCAGTTCACTTGTCCTGCTTGGTTCTCAAATTATGTTATTTGAAGCTAGGGGACTGGTTTGAGTTTATAAAGACATTGACGTACCCCTGTGGCTGTCACATGCCACATGATATTTGCATCTTTGCGTCATCTTTGCAACAACTAAACCCCAATGAATTTAGGAAGAGTCTTGTATTCAGAAACTGGCCCTTCTTGACAACTAATTGAATTCTCATGTGGTTTCCACAGAGGTGAGAGTGACCATGTACATCTCCATTGCATTATTTTACCTGCAGGTGAGGGTAGAGGGAGCCACGTCTACCTTTCCACTTTCTCATAGAATTTCATGTTCAGAACCTATACTCTGAGCCAAACTGCATTTCCAGAAAAAGTATGTACAGCTTGATCCTTTGTAATTTTTTCTGAGTCATCAGCCCTGTAGGAGCAAGCGTCTGTACTTGGATGAAGCCTTTAAGGAACTGAGCTGGAGGCACTACTGATTGAGCAAAGAAAATGAAGTCTGTAGTAGACCCAGTGTCATGAAGGAATATTTCTGTTGCTCATCCCTGTTCTTTTGCCTCAGGCTGCTTTGGACTAGTTTGACACTAAGTCCTCATGTTGTGCAATGCTGAAGTAAGCAGACCTGTGTTTGTAATATGCCTAATATAATGGAACCTGTTCCTGATTAGATCTTGGAGTAGGGCTGTAATATGCTGTACTTGATTCCTTCCTGGCAGCTCATGTGCCAAGTGAAGTATTTCCAGCGATTTAGTTTCTCTGGTTTTATGTTCAGGAGCTGTTACCCCCAGTGTCTGGGGCTCCCAGGAGTTCCCAGGTGCTGTATATTGAGCTGTGATTAGTACCCGGAGTGCCTGACTGTTGCATCAGACACTGCAGTCTGCAGCAGTCTGCATTTCCTGCTTCCTCTTCGGCAGCAGAGACCCAGTTGTGATACTGGCATTGCACGTACAGCATAAGTCAAAACTCTGTGTTCAGATGTAGAAATCTTGGACTGACTTAATCGGTCTCCACGAGCTGTTGCAAAACAACTCGTCCCAGAGCCCGATCCCGGCCCACAGAGGGCAGCCCGATGCCGTGTTTTACTCCAGCGATGTGCTCAACTTGGGAATTCAGTCATCTGCTGGCATCTCTATCAGCATGACTTGCTGGGAAATAAACAACTGAATGTTGTGGAGAATTAGCATCAGCCTTAAGCTCAAAGAGATTCAAAAGTGGACTTAAAAAAAAATTGCATGGCTAAATTAAACCACCTGGTACTATTTTTTTTAAAAACGTAGTGAAAGAAAAATATTACATAAGAAAGCTCAGTTTTGAAGATCTTGCACGTACAACAGGTAAATTTATTGGTTAAAAGGCAAGAGGGAGAAAATACCCAGAATTTGTGTACCTGCATGTACTGGGCAAGACTAACAGAAGAAAAGTGCTTTTCTCTTTTTCCAAATCTCTTCAGAAATCTTTCAGGATTCAAGTTATTGTTACCAGGTACTGTTACTGTTACAATCATAAGACTACTCCTTTGGCTGGTTGGCCCATGTTCTTTCCCAAGTGTGTCCTAAGTCCTTGTGAAACAGCCATCACAATTTCCAGGAGATTTTGTCTAAGAGGTTGTATTTACATGCACACATGTGCCTGAGCTATAAAACTGATCAGTGCCAGGTGGGGTGCCAGGGCTTGGTATCTTGACTTATTATGA